CGAGGTCCACGCTCTTCCAGCCAGACGATGACATGACCCCAAGGAGACTAGAACCTATTTTGTGAGAAGCAAGGCTTCCTTGAGAGAGGAAAGGAAGTTCCCAAAGTTGGACGTGCTTAATGATTAAGTTGTCCATTTGGGAGCAGAATATAGTAAAGCTTTGTTGTGTACATGGAGAGTGATTGATGTCATCACCAAGCACTAGACAGTTGTTTCACGTAGGTTACGCTGAAAACTTAAGCAACCTTGGACACACAAGGCTGCCTTCTCCTGGGATCATCTGAAGGGTCTTATTTGCAACATTTTCACTACTTACTTGCTATTTGTCCTTGAACAAGTTATATAACCTTTCTGAAATTCAGTATCTTACCTGTAAAATGGGGACAGTGATACCTATTCCTGAGGGCTGTTGTAAGGATCAAATTAGATAATATATGCAAAAACATATTACAGAGCCTGGCACACAGAACTGCTTGAAGTGTTAGCTGTTATTATTATTAAAAGTGCTAACACAATTCCAGGAAAATAGTAAAGATGCAATAAGTTAGAACTTTTATTTACAGTTGTACTTGTGATAATGTACATGCATATCATGTACATCACTCTCTGGAAGCGTTTTGTGTCCAGACGTGTTACATATCTTTAATCAAAGCTCAAACACAAGAGCTCGAATGCTTCAGCCTTGATGCTCGGGGCAAAATTATTCTAAGCATTTGCAAACTGTCTTTTAAATACTATCTCCCGCTTTAGCCCCACATGCTGACCTTATGTGCCTTCAGTTTAATGAGATATGCTCACTGCATCAAAATAGAAGAATCAATTATACTGAAGCATAGGAAAAGGTCAATATCAAAGAGACAGTTGGAGAACAATGGTTTTGAGCATTTGTGTGTTTCTACAAAGTCACAAAGGATGACAATCTTGTCTTTGCTTTAATAATGAAGAAACTAAGATACTAGCTGTCAAAGGTCATGCAGCTAGTATTCTGAACCCAAGATGAACTAATGTAGATGCCTCTTTTCCAGAGTAACAATCACCAAAAAGATGCAGGCTATTTTTCTTCAGTTTATGATGCCTGAGGTAGACCTTTGCCTTATAGGGGATGTCATTCAGAACGGATAAAAACAGGATCCCAAATTCTCCCTAACATCAAAGAAATATTGTTTCCAGTGTAAGTAAATGAAGTATGGCATCCCCAACTAGTGCAATTTCTTGGAGAGAAAACTTGATTCAATACTGCTAAATAGAAAATGTTACTACATGTGTTATGTTCCAGTCTTAATATAGAGCTTCAGTAAATGGAGACTTTTTAATATGACCAAAAAAAAAAAAAAATTAAAGTCCTGAACAGCATGCTTAAGAAGTGGTAGATTAATCTCTCTTTAAGTGATGGAACCCTGTTACCTCCCATAATATGTCCATTTTCCTAAAGGGCAGCTCCAGATTATCAAAACACAATTACTTTTAATTAACTTAATTTAATAAATAAATGTCATTTAGACACCTAAAGAAGAATGGGAGAGAAGAATAGCAGGGTTGTCATTAAATCAATCCAATATGATGGAGTATTACAACTCCAGAAAGGTGAGGGATTAATTAAAAGCTGTCGAGAGCAATCTCATTAGTGAGGGAGTACAGACAATCCAGGAGCAAAATTCTGGGAGAAACCACAGCATTCTCATCATATTTTTTCTTGTAAGCACTTGCATTCCTAAAAGCCCCCTAACACCTAAATAATTTATTTGGTAGTCTTAGAAAATGTAATAAACTGTCATTTTTAGATAAATTTAATATTGGGCTCCTCTGCATTTAATAACATTAGCTAATGATTTGCATGTTTGTCCTACCAGCAGAGTGTAATTTTATCACACTGCCGTGGGTCTCTAATTTGGTTTACCACTGTTGTGAAAAGATTTTTAAAAGATATTTTCTCTTTTTATTGACTTGGTGAAGATCTTCTCGGCCACACATACAGACCAAGAATTGTAGTAATAGGTATTCTTTGTTGCAACATTCTTTAACATCTGTTTTTTATTTACATCCATTTTTCTCTGTGATGATTTTCCTAAAACATTTGCTACAAGTTATTGGTGTATTTCTCTGTCCTATAGAACGAATGCACATTTAAAAGCTGGAGCTACAGAGAGTACGTGTATCCTAATTTAGTGTTGATTACTCTCAAATATTTTAAATCTCCGTATGTTTATATCTTTGTAACACTTAACAATATAGTTTATATAAAACTCTAGTGTTTACAAAATACTTACACATTTGTTGTATTATTTGCTCCTTACAATAACACTAAAGAGCAGATGGCTGGGTTTTATCATCCTATATTTACAGAGGAGGAAATGGAGGCTAAGAAGCCCTGTGACTGGCCCCAGGTCACAGAGCCACAGGTGCAGGAGCTGGGGGAGAATCTCCACATCCTCAACCTCAGGCCAGGGTTCTTTCTGCCCTGCAGCACTGCCTCACGGAGATGAGAAGGACCAGGCAGTTTGGAAACGAGACCCCGTGGGAGTTGCCCCTCTTTGCCTACCTAGAGAGGATGAGACCAAGATCTCTGCCCAGCAGAGACAGAATCTCAGCTTTTGATGGCCTCTCTCTCTCTCTCTCTCTCTCTCTCTCTCTCTCTCTCTCTCATTCTCTCTCTGAGTCGGTAGCCCTCCAGCTCTCCCTTTGTACATGTGACTAAAGCCTTCTCATTTTTGAAGGCTCTGTTCAGGCATCACCTCCCCAAGGAAGGTTTCTTAATATCCCTGAGAACTGGATCAAGTGTTGCAGGAGACTGCTCCATCTGAGCGCTTGCTTTATGGGTTTTATGATTCGCTTGTATCAGCTTCACTGTGAACAAAGACAGCCATCTCTCCCTCTACCGCAAGGCACATGCCTCCCTCCCCCTGTGGCGGTCACCCTGTCCTCCTTGCTGTCCCTGAGCAAGCCAGGCACACTGCCTCCTGGACTTGACCCTGGCAATGCCTCTGCCTGGAAGGCTCTTCGCCTGATCTGTGTGGCTCATCCCTCTCCTCCTCTGGGTTATTACTCAAAGGCCATTTTCTCAGCTCCTCTCCATTTGAAATTCCTAACCCCCAGCTGTCCCTATTCCTCTCCCTTGATTTATACGTCTCCATAAAACTTCTCACCTGACATATATGTTTTACTTCCCTAGTTTGTTTATTGACCTCTTCCCCAATGAGAATATATAAATTCTAGGTGATGATAAACTGATTAGGCCAAATTCTTTGAACAAAGACCTACAAATGGGCTTCCCTGGTGGCGCAGTGGTTGGGAGTCCGCCTGCCGGTGCAGGGGACACGGGTTCGTGCCCCGGTCCCGGAAGATCCCACATGCTGCGGAGCGGCTGGGCCCGTGAGCCATGGCCGCTGAGCCTGCGCGTCCGGAGCCTGTGCTCCGCAACGGGAGAGGCCACAACAGTGAGAGGCCCGCGTACCGCAAAAAAAAAAAAAAAAAAAAGACCTACAAGTTATCCTGGCTATCTTCACAAGCTGCTGATTAACCATTTTGTCTCTAAAACAGAAATAGGCACAAGCAGACAAGTGTTAGATACAGTATTTCTCACATAGCTTAGTCCTCTCTGAAGCTACCGCCTTCACCCACTAACATAGGCCACGGTATTTTCTTCTCAGAGGGCTTCTGAGATCATGTAATAAGGCCAGATGAATGATGCTTTTATCCTTCCACCACCGCCCCAAACTGGTGATACAATCCATTGTGATATCAATTCTTTAGCACTTATAAGAAACTTTGAAAATGGCCTCAACTTGTAGATACAAATGAGAGATATAAGATTGTAACTTTTAAAGATCTCTCCTCTTTATTGCCCACCAATAATATAAAATTATTTTTATTTCATGATATATATATAACATGTTATATTATAATCAGTATATTAGTATCTATGGTATAATATATTAGTAAATTATTTATTCAATAAATATTCATTTTAGCACCTGTTATGTTCCAGGCACTGTGTTAGATGCTCTGGATTCAGGAATGAGCAAAACAAATATTGTCTGTATCCTTAGGTAGCTTCCAATCTGAAGGGAAGACATATCATTACGTAATATTGTAGGACCAGGCAGGTGTCCTGGGAAACCGTGGGAAATTTCTTCAGAGATATAATGTTGTTATAAGTATTAAGTTATAAGTAGATGATCCATGGAGACTGATTCTGCTTGCTCAGTACTGTGGCTCTGTGGACCTAAAAGGGTACTCTGAGTATCATTAAGGGTTGCAATGCTAAGCATAATAGTACTGTAAGTCATAAACACAGTGTTGTCCCAGGGCTCTCAAGCCTGAGAAGGGTCATTCATTTGTTCATTCAGTCATTCAGCAAACAGCTACTGACCACCTACAGCTGTGAACAAGACCAGTAGGTCCCTCCCTGCCCTCATGTGCCCTTCGGGCCAGCCCAGGGGTGCCCCAGCTAGAGCTGCGAGCAGCAAGGCTCCACCAGCCCCTCGCCCAGCTGCAGCCTGCTGCCTCGCTTCTGTGCTCATACACGGGCACAGCTCGTCTTTGCCTGGCAGCTGGAGGGCGGGCTGCTGCTGCCCCCACTTATACTCTGACTGTGGGCTGTAAGGTTGGGGGAGCTGCCACATTCTGAAGGATGAAAAATAAATCATGCTTATTACTTCTGTCGTTTTCTATTTCCAGGGATAGAAGAAAAGGGAGAAGAATTTGCTAGCATGCTTACAGAGCTTCTCTTTGAATTGCATGTTGCGGCCACGCCTGACAAACTCAATAAGGTCAGCACCATATAAATCTCAGTTTTTGCTCGTTGGTTTTTGGTTTTTTTTTAAAAAGTTCTCGGTTGTAAAATCCAGAAATCCACCTGAAACAGAAAAACTCCAAGTCCCAATGGCACATAGCGGGAGGGGAGTCCCAGGTTAGTAATTAAGATTCAAGGAGGCAACATCATGAAATGTGACTGCGGAGAACCTGCTAGGCTGTGTCGTGAGACCTGCGTTTTAGTTGCAGGTAATTACCTTGTGACCTTGAACAAGTCATTTCTCCTTAAAATAGGGTCTTAGATCAGATCAGTGGTTATCCTCAGCTTAGAGGAGGAAAGAAGGTGCAGAATCACCAAAGGGCTTTTTCAAATTCCATCTCCCCTCCCCTCAAAAGTGACATGCCAGCATTAGGCAGAGAAAGCACATCTGCCAGAGCCAGGCCACTCACACAACCCCTCCCACTGGAAAGCCGGTGCTTCGTCGTGTCTAAGACCATCTGAGCTCTCACTGTCTGGGCTCCTCTGAGAGTAACACTGGATGTTTTGCAAGCTCCTACAAGGTCTTGCTGTGGCATTTCTTAATGAGGTCACTGATCATTAATTACTTAAAACTGTCATTTTTCCCATTCTCTTTCTCTTCTCTTTTTTTTTTTGAATTTTTGAATTTTATTTTATTTATTTTTTTATACAGCAGGTTCTTATTAGTCCTCCATTTATACACATCAGTGTATACATGTCAATCCCAGTCTCCCAGTTCATCCCACCACCACCCGCTCTCTTTCTTCTCTTTAGCGATCAGTGGTTGACACAGGTACTCACTCATCAAGGTGGGTTAGGAAAGGGCAGACTGAGGCAGTGAGGTGGAGAGGTGAGCAAGTTCTTTATCTCTGATAGAGGTCACTGATTCTGGCAGGTCAGTGACTTGAAGACAGCAGGGAAATTGCCTCATTCATCTCCACACAGCACCTACCGCAGCTCAGAGAGTGTGTGTGGTGCCTCCGAGGTCTCACTGGCTTATTTACATAGGTAAACCTTTGTCCTTAAAAGAGGACACACCAAGCATGGTTTGTTAGGTTTTGTCTCCGCTAATCTTCTCTCCATTTACTTGCCATCAACACCATGACACATTAAACTTTGACATGCAAGCTTTCAGATGAGAAGTAAGTTTTGTATAAGCTCAGATGCAACTTAAACAAACAGCTTAAACTATCATATAAAAGCTGGTAAGTCTGCCCTTTCAAAATTCAGGGAGTAACAGATAGGGAAGGTGGTTTCTGCTTGTTCAAAAACTTTTAAGGCCACAAGTTGCTCAAACTGCACTCATGTGAAGTGAAATTCATCACAGTTCTTCTCTTGTTCCCACCACCCGACCCCGCCCTGAGAGGTTCTGGCATGGTTGGAGAGGAGCAGAGCCATCCTTCATCTTCCAGCATGATACATTATTAGGTTCGTGAAATATTAAGGGCTTCATGAGACATAGCAGATGAGGAAATTTGCTTTAGCAATGACCCTGGCTAAATTTCATATATATATATATATATATATATATATATATGAAATTTTACAGTTGGTCACAAAAAGTGAAAAATATACTATGGCTTTTCCAAAGTGACAGTCATTTTTATTCCTATCTGAGTATCATTTTATTTTTTTTAAAGATTTTATTTATTTATTTTTTTATTTTTTTGGCCGCATTGGGTCTTCTGTTGCTGTGCACAGGGTTTCTCTAGTTGTGGTGAGCGGGGGCTACTCTTTGTTGCAGTGCGAGGGCTTCTCATTGCGGTGGCTTCTCTTGTTGCGGAACACAGGCTGTAGGCGTGCAGGCTTCAGTAGTTGTGGCACATGGGCTCAGTAGTTGTGGCTCGCGGGCTCTAGAGCACAGGCTCAGTAGTTGTGGCGCACGGGCTTAGTTGCTCTGCGGCATGTGGGATCTTCCCGGACCAGGGCTCGAACCCGTGTTCCCTGCATTGGCAGGCGGATTCTTAACCACTGCACCACCAGGGAAGCCCTGAGTATCATTTTAGAATGCTTTCCAAAAATTCCTCAGGCCCTGCAGTTTTCTCTCCATACATTCTTTCTACTCTGTCCCTTTTTCTTACCCTATGTTTTACCAGAAAGCAACAACAGGGTGTTTTTAAGGAAGTTGAGGAATTGCCCCATCACTCTTTAAACGTACAGAGAGCCACCCTTGGCAGTTTAGGGTTTGATCCAAGTCGTGGGATTGGCTTTTGTGTCTCCATATTTGTACAATAAACGTATTGCTTTGGTTGGGGGCCTTTGCAGGCCATGAAAAAAGCTCATGACTGGGTGGGAGAAGATCAAACTGTGGTGCCAGTAGACATGGCCGAAGAGTCAGAGGACAAAACAGAGAAGGAAGAAAAGGAAGAGAAACCTGAAAACCCCGAAGAAGACAAGAAGGAAGAAAGGAAAACTAAGACAGTCGAGGTAAACGCATTACAGATCGTCCGCCTAAAGAGCAGTAATATTATGTTCATTTTATTAGCAGCCTAATTTTAAGTGAGGCGAAGCCATTTCATTTTTATTTATACCCTATTCCACGCTATAGAAATATGAGTATTAATGTAATAAACACTAAAATTTCTCTATACCAGGACATTTCGTGATTTAGCATAGATATTGTAGCTTTCCTCCATAGCGTTACAGTTATAATTTAAAGGAAAAAAGATATTTAAGAACATAGTTGATTTATCTTGAGGGTAAAATTCCATCATATCAAATTTGTAACCATAACATGTCCTTATGCCCCATAACTAATGAGGTAATTGGAGCTTTTTCCAAAAAAGAATTTCATTGCCACAGTTTCTATTCTGTAGTTTAATAAATTTATATGTGCATAATTTATAATCTGCCTAAGTTCACAAATGAGTTTGTAATAACTTCATTTTACGTTGAATTTTAATTTTAGAGAAAGAAAGTTTCAAATTAGATCACTCTAAAGAAAAATGTCCACTGAGGTCTGTTCAATTTAGCCACCCTTCCACACGCTTTCATGAGTACCTGTCTGTTGTGTGCCCAGCACTGCTCTGAGAACTGGGGACCCAGTGTGAAGAAGGCTTGTTATGTCCCTGGGACCTGGTGACACTTCTGTTTTATGGTAGCATTTCCACTTAGAAAAGTCTTAGGTACACCCATTAATCTTTGGGTAAATTTTTTCAGGTCATATTTGTTTTGGGGGATTTTTTTCCAGGAATTACGTAATTGTTTTAATGTCACAGGAGTTTTTTAGAAAGCATCTTCTCAATGAATAATTTTCTGACTTTTACTTTTTGCTTTCAGGAAGCATACATGCAGTCCATCGAAAGCCTGGCAGAAGTAACAGCTCGCTGTATTGAGCAGCTTCATAAAGTAGCAGAATTAATTCTTCATGGACAAGAAGAGGAAAAACCAGCTCACGACCAAGCAAAAGTTCTGATAAAGTAAATGTTACTTTTAATTCTTATTTTTCCAATTTTATGTATACGTGCCATTCAAATGCACACACGCACGCACACACACGCATACACCCTCAGCTACTCAAGATTCAGATTTCATGTCAACTAATTCCATTGTTCTGTGGTCATCTTAAGAAATAAGGACTCTCTTAAGAAATGAACCAAGTTAGCGAGAACAGTAATAATTAGCTAGACATTCCAGGAATTATTTATGAAGAGATTTAAGGGAAGACACCCTAAATCATTCAGAGCTAAGTGTTTGTTTTAATAGATCAGAATCTTGAAAGTACAGACCTTTGAATATAATTACATTTTCAACATGCCACACAGATAAAAGACACCTTAATGGACCTTCTCAACTAGTTTCACAGAAATATGCAAACACACCCCCACTGTTCCGAGGGACTCATACCAGCTCTGCATATTCTGAATTCTGGCAATGATGGTCGCTAACATAAGCCAGTTCACTGTGGATTGCTTTTGCGTGCATATTTGCTATCATATGTTTATTCTTCAGTAAGCTACTATTATTAGTTTAGTGAAATAAAAATGTGTGTATATATATATATATATATATATATATATATAATGTTATACACATGAAAATAGCTGGTATGGAGCGTTCATTAAAATAGTTGATTATGGAGCTGAAGAATAAGCCATTAACTTTTACACATATGACTGTAAGCTGTGGTATAGAAAATCAGCACAGGTCCAGATGCCCTCTCATTATTATATAGACACAGGAGCCCAAATAAGAGCCTCCTAAAAATATATGGGTACACACAGACACACACACACACACACACACACACACACACACACACACACAATCTCAACACATTCACTCACTTGCTAGCTAACTAGTCTTCACTTATTACTACATTTGGCATTGTAGGTTGGGGAGCAAATTTTTGGTGGAAGGACCTTCCAAAAAGTCATTATTAGTGTCTCTGATGGCATTTTTCCTCACTTGTACAGATTTGTGATCTAGTGTAGATTTTCATATCTGAACATGTGAAAATCGAAGATATTATAAGCACTGCACAATCCTGCCCTTAAAATGCCTACAAAGAATATGTACTTGTCTCGACATAAAGAAGGAAGAGGAAAGGGCAGAATAGGAAAAGTTTCAGGTATTGAGGAAAACATCTGAGTACTGTTTTCTATTTGCATGCTGATTTGAAAGAGGAGGGCTGAAGTCAGAAGTTTCTGAGTATGGAAAGCAGAACCTTACCCTCAGCTCCTGTCTGATTCTCAGCCCCTGATTGTCCCAACCTTACCAAGCTGCTCCAAGCAAAATGTAATAAGGCCTCATATATGTCTGTGCCATAAGTGCCTTTCCACCCACCTGCCCAAGAACATAGGCAGAACTGCTCTTTGCTATCTCTTGGCCTTACTCCTGACCCTTTCTGCAGATAAGTTTTGGATGGTTGGGTGGATGGATGAGTAGTTGGATGGATAGATTAGTGGAAGGAGGGATAGATGGATATACAACAAACCTGAATACATAGCTTAGACAGAACCCCTATTTATCAGAACGAAACTTGCCTCTACTGACATCACTAGATCTTTTAATATGTAAGATTCTTAACTTGGAGTTATTGTTTTGCTAATAGTATTTTAATCACTTCATAAAAGTCATACATACTTACTGTTAAAAAAAAATCAGGCAAAATGCACCATTGTTAGGTAGATTGTTTTCAGCTTTTGTCATCATCTATAATGTTATGACAAACATTGCTTTGTTAAATATTTGCATCTATCTTGCATTATTTTCTTGGGGTAAAGTCCTAGGCGTGATGGCTGGAATAAACATTGGGGTAAAGTTTTGATGTATTTGATGTAAGTCTTAAAAAACATATTCTACAGGATCTTTATTTTGAGGCATCTCATAAAAACATAATCAAGGGCTTCCCTGGTGGCGCAGTGGTTGAGAGTCCGCCTGCCGATGCAGGGGACACGGGTTCGTGCCCCGGTCCGGGAAGATCCCACATGCCGCGGAGCGGCTGGGCCCGTGAGCCATGGCCGCTGGGCCTGCGCGTCCGGAGCCTGTGCTCCGCAACGGGAGAGGCCACAACAGTGAGAGGCCCGCGTACCGCAAAAAAAAAAAAAAAAAAAAAAATTATCAAGATATGAAGAGACATCTGAGTTTGAATTTCTTCATCTATAAAATGGGAATAATAATGGACCCTAATAAGGTCATTATGCAGATTAAATGTGATTATGCATATAAAAGTATTTAACATAGTACCTCAGTGAATGTTCATTATTATTTTCAAATGAACAATGCTGGAGAAAAGTCCCTTGGCAAGAGTTTTATACCCCTTGTGGAGCTCAAACCTGGTATTTTCCTGCATATGCTTTTGCTTCGATAAAGAGGTAGGGTGAGAATTAGATTAAACTGTGATTGTGAATCATGGAAGAATACTGAGGAAAACATTTCTACAGAGCATCTTCAAACTTGAGTGCCCTTCTTTTAAAGGGAATACTGTATTAATATCAATAATTGTATTAACAATACAATTATTTTTCTTTATTAAAAATACCCAAATCTCTTTTTTTTCTTCTTTCAGATTAACTACTGCAATGTGCAAGGAAGTGGCCTCCTTATCGGAGAAGTTTACAAATTCTTTAACCACTGTTGGGGTAAGATTATGATACTGACTCTTTTTTCACCTTTTTGAGGGGAAGGCCTACAAGGGGCTGTGATATGAAGTGGAGGACATAGTACCTTCTTTGATAGCTCCACAAAGCAGAAGCTCTGCCGGGACATTTGCTAAAATGAGGCCTGAGCATCTTCTCTAGCTATAGGCAGCTTAAGGCTCTCATCTGACTGAGTTCTAGCCCTGATGAGACCATATCAGACATACAAGGTATTGGGTGGATTTTCAAACCTCTCTGGGCCTCATTTCCTTTATTTGTTCACTAAGGTTCCTTCTGTTATTTAACATCTGTGATATATAATTCCACAATCTCTAGTAAAATAATTCTGCTTTATTGTTACACTTCAACTTTGACCAAAAGAAAAAAATTTTACCAATCTGTAGAAGTGTTTCTATTCTCGAGGCAACAATTTTGAAAGGTTCGGCATTCATTTGGAGCTATGGCTTCTGGTTATTTTCTTTAGAAATCAGTCATGTTATGTAACTCAACCTAATGGGATTGGAGAAGACAGTGGCAATTATTCCTTTTCAACCTTTCTACTTTTCCTTTTAAGGCCCTGGATGCAAAGGCAGATGATTCTTTACAAGAGAAACAGCAAGTTTCACTTCCTGTTTTAGCTAGGGTGTTTGGGTTACAAATGTATTAGTTTCCTAGGGCTGCCTTGACAAGTACCACACACTGGGTGACTTCAACAACAGAAATGTATTGTCTCACCATTCTGGAGGCTAGAAGTCTGAAAGTAGGGTATTGGCAGAGCCATGCTTCTTCTGAAGCCTCCAGGGAAGGACCCTTCTCTGCCTCTTCCAGCTTCCCAGGCATTCTTTAGCTTGCAGCAGTGTAACCCCAATTTCTTTCTCTATCTTCACATCATCCTCCCTCTGTGTGTGTCTGTGCCCACATTTCCCTCTTCTTATAAGGACAGTGGTCATATTGGATTAAGGTATGACCAGTACAACCTCATCTTATCTAATTGAATCTGCAACACCCTATCTCCAAATAAGGTCACAGTCTGATACACTGGAGGTTAGGACTTCAGCATATCTCTTCCTAACACAAAGTAACAGAAACAAGCACTAAATAATTTAGACAGAAAGGGGAGCTTATTAAAGGTAGTGGAGATATATGAGCAGCCGTGGGGGACCCATCACCAGAGCTCATGTACCTTCTCTCTAAAGTGTTATTATTAATGTGACTCAACTACAGCAGTTCCTGGTTCTCTCCATTCAAATTCCAGGATCCTGGGTGAGAAGGTTTGAAAGGCTCAGATATGCATCTTGGTGTCTCCAGTAGTGAAGAGGACAGGGTCGTATCATGTAGACCTACTTTGCTGCTGGGGTACACCTCTTCCCACCCCCACCCCAGGCAAAGAGCAGTTCTCAAAAACAGCAGAAATGATTGTGGACTGGGCTGTCCAAGTTGTGTGCCTCTCAGACTTCTGTAAGTGGCTTAGTTGATAAAGGATGAGTTACATACCAACTATTCATTCTGCTGTCAAAGAATATGGTTTGCTTCTCCTATTTTGAAAAAGACCAGCTTTTATATTTGTCTAATTTCAGGCCTTCAGCAATAGAGCTTCACTGTAAACAGGCAGAGTGAAGGCGGAGGGTAGAAGCTCATTGATAGGATAGGCTTGATAAAATACATTTATGTGATTGGCATCATCTAAGTTAACTGATGCCCATGGACTTTGGTGTAACTGCTAGATTTACAGAGAGGTGTGAGCTCTTAATCAGGATAGAATGACCTTGGCGACTCAGCTTCCCAAGGCTCTACTGTACCCTCTTCTCACCCTTTCCAGTTTACTACCTGAGAAACTGTGTCTCAGAAGCGTGAACGATTCACCCAGTTGACTCAACTCCCAGTTGGCTGCCCATCAGACACAGCAGACAGATAGCTAACTGTTTGGTTCTCTACGGTTGCCTAGTGATGAGGATGTATATGTCTGTGTCTATGTGTGTTATATGTTTTATATGATCCATGTTAAATATTAATTAATTTATGTTAGTGGGTGATATTCATGGTATTGCTTTCCATTCCCTTTAACGTATTGTATTCCAGCACAGTGCTTCTCAAACCTTAATGTGCAAGCAAATAACCTAGAGAGCTTATTAAATGCAGATTTTGATTCAGTGGGTCTAGGGTGAGGACTGAGATTCTGCATTTCTAACAAACTCCCAAGTGGTAACAGTGCTCCTAATTCATATCCTACATTTTGAGTAGCAAAGCTCTAGCAGAATTCAAGTGTGTACTTGAATGAATACACACACATAAAATGCACACACACAGGGCTTTCCTGGTGGCACAGTGGTTGAGAGTCCGCCTGCCGATTCAGGGGACACAGGTTCGTGCCCCGGTCCGGGAAGATCCCACATGCCACGGAGCGGCTGGGCCTGTGAACCATGGCCGCTGAGACTGCGCGTCCAGAGCCTGTGCTCCGCAACGGGAGAAGCCACGACAGTGAGAGGCCAGCGTACCGCAAAAAAAAGAAAAAAGAAAAAAATACACACACACACACACACATTTGTGTCCAAATGTTTGTATGAACAAAATCAGGAACACACAGATTATCGTTTGGAGAAAGAAAAAGCCAAATCTAAATGGAGTTTACTGAAATACCGTCTCACAACAACAGTACCTCTCATCTTGTGCTGTGATGAATCATTCACATCGTCATTGTTTGTATTCTCTAAAAGAGCCATTATTCATAACTTGAAGTTAATGAGTGTATATTGCTCTCCAGACTCTATTTAAATTGCTTGCACATCTCATTGATTCTGAAAACCAATGCCATTTTATTGCCCTCATTTTGATTATATTTTAGAGGTTTATTGATAATCAAATAAACATGAAAGCAAACCATAATGGATTTTCTGGTTACTTACTAAAATGACTGGGTTTTTAAAGACTTTTTTCCCAAGACTCCATCCTGCTTTCCCCAGTAGGACATTACTTAGCCCTCGGTAGAGTAATGTCAGTGAAAGTGGGCTGCTCTGGGAAGAAATAGTTCATTTCTATACTTTTGTTTGCCATAAAGTCTTTCAAGTACAGTGAGGGGAAGCAGCCTATTAAGACTGCCCTCTTCTTTCTAGTCCCTGTAATTATTTATTGTCTAAGAGTGGATTGAACATTTTAGATAGAGAAGACTGGACATAATAACAACGGTGACATGAACACTAACTCCCACTTTTTGAACACCTACTTAACATCAGGTTCTATACTCTGCGCTTTCCATGTTTTGCAAACTGGGATATGCTGACCTGTTTGCAAGTTATATTTAAGAGTGTTTTAACTTTACTGCCAACCTTGAAGACACACCCTGTAACCAAGTACCCGTGTTTGCATTGAAAAGAAAAAAGACTGCAGACCAGGGCTGGAACTAGGGTAGGCAAGTAAAGGTACTTAACTTGTCTACCAAATTTAAGGGGACTCCCCCGCACAAAAAGAGACAAAGAAACAACCTCAGTCATCTAGATAAATATTTTAATGCAGTATTTTAAAAATCAAAATTAACACCAAAAATTCATGATGAACAAAATATCAAAATTTTAAATAAAGACTGAATCTGACACTGTACAACTCAGACTCACTCACCTCCCCCTAATCCCAGACCTGCTACGAGCTTTAAGTAGTTTAAAAGGTCTGAGTGTAAATTTCTAGCTACATGACCTTAAGCAAGTTACTCAACCTTCCTGATTCCTATTTTCTCATCTTTATTTTTTTTTAATTTTTTTATTAAGATTTTTTTTTTTTTGATGTGGACCATTTTTAAAGTCTTTATTGAATTTGTTACAATATTGCTTCTGTTTTATGTTTTGGTTCCTTGGCAGCAAGGCATGTGGGATCTTAGCTCCCCAACTCCCCAACCAGGGATTGAACACGCACCCCCTGCACTGGCAGGCGAAGTCTTAGCCACTGGACCGCCAGAGACGTCCCCTATTTTCTCATCTTTAAATCGAGGTTATCATGGTACCTACCTACCTCCTAAGATTTCTGTCGAAATTAAATGATGGTGTCGGGGAAGCACCAAATATGAAGCCTTGTCTGTAGTAAGCATTCCACTTCTCCCCTTCTTCTCTAAGAGATTCCTCAGCAAAGCCAGCATCTGCATTTTCTGGGACAAGCCTTGGAGTATGAGCACCTAATCTGTCAATTTCATCCTTTTGATTCCACAGAGCAACAAGAAGGCTGAGGTCCTTAACCCCATGATCAATAGTGTATTGTTAGAGGTAAGTGGCCTCCTGGAGAGAAAGTGCTTCTGAATCAAAGCAAATGTTAGAGCTACATTTTTTGTGTGTGTGTATTTCTCCCAGGCAGCAAGTGTTATTGCAATTCTAAATTTTATCGTCTACAGTCTTTTTTGAGTACATTTGTGTAGTTAAACCAGCTGTAAACCCTCGGGTGAAGCAGCAATACCTCATTTTCAAGAATTCTGATTATAAAGAGAAACGCTAAGCTCGCATGTTATTTCTGTTGCTGTTTCCCCCGACAGAAACATTTCTGCTGCCAAGTTTGACACCAGATTTAACACTGTGATAATTGGCTGCAATGAGGGATTCTTGCTCAGTGGTGATTTTCATAAAAATGGGCACTTCCCTCCATTTACATAACCTTGAGTTTAGCTAGGTCTAAGCTCCAGACTGGCAAAAATGACAAGTAGAATGTTTAGCATCTGTCCGTTCAGTGACCAGAGGCAAGATCCTCTGTGACCACTCACTCCGTGGCCTGCCCACCCACCAGGACATTGTAACATGGACATGCAGCTGCCCCGTACAGCTGTGGCTTTGCCAGAAGTAACGATGTAAGATCGAAGAAAAGAAGCCCAGGAGGCCTCATTCTTGACTTAGAGGCACTGTGTTCCACCTGTGATTAGTGGGGGAAACCTTCTATTAGGGACCAGCTCTAAGGAACTGGCACATCTGTAGCCCCAGGGAACCCCACTGAAGCCACAAGGTGTTGACAAGTTGAGTTTGAACATGGGCAAAAATGCATATACAGTAGTTTCTTGCTGTCTGAAGTGCCTGTCAAATGCAAAATTTGGAAATTACAAAAGTCAGGGAGGGCTACCTATGTATTTATAGCAATGCGTTTAGGAATTGGGTCTTATCGTTAAGGGAAACTATCAAGGTACAAGAATAACAATGTGGTGACAACAAATGTTATTGTTTAAGACACAGCCACAGAGGGGGATGGAGTTGACAAGAAGAGACAAGGAACCATAGAGGCAGGTTCTGGAGGACACAGCTAAGAGGAAACCCAGGCAGACAGAGGCAGAATAGAAACATCCAAAGAAATGTGTTTACATCTTTTTTAAGCACCAACATTAAAAGAAAAATATTCTAAAGTAGTGTGGGGTATGAGAAAAAGGAACATTATCAAATGGGAGGAATTGTCAAGCTGGAACTCTGACAATAACCCTCCAACCACAATTTTCTCCCTTCATAGGGCTCCAATAGCACCACATACATACAGGACGCCTTCCAGCTGCTGCTGCCTGTCCTGCAGGTTTCACACATCCAGACCAGTCGTTCCAAAGCACAGCCATGACCTGGCCAGACTCCATCTAGTTAAAGGAAACAGCAGGCCCTGTTGCTCTGATATATACCATTTCATGGAATGGTTTCGACGCATCTGACCACAGATGCCTGTTTGGAGACACTACAAGCAATTTTGCACAGACAGATTGAGAGTGCAAGTTCAAAGACAGTATCATTTCTCTTAATGTATACGGTTGTTTTTACAAGTAATTATGTTTCCTTTATGTTAATTTAAATTTACATGGCTTTGTATTGATAATTTCCTTTATCTGGAGTTCACTCAAAATATTCATTTCTCTTTTCCTGGTCAAGCATGTTATATTTGGAAATTCATGGGCAGACCCTAGACTATAAATTTCCACTTTTAAATTTCCCACTCTTATAGTATGACTTAAAATCAGTTCTTATCCTTAACTTAGTTTTGTTATATTAATGCCACTGCCAGAGATAACACTACTCATAGATATTACTTATTATGGTGAAAGAGGAATGTAAGTATCTGTTTATAGTCATGTACTCTCAGAACAAGCATTTATTGAGCTCCTACTGTGTGCTCACAATAGAGGAATATGATCTCACCCCAGTAGAGACAGATATTCTGATAATAATTCTTAAAATGCTTTAAAATACTAATAAATTTTCTAAACCTTAAAAAAATTTGAAGAACAAGGTAAATTAATATTTTTTTAAATGTTCTACCCTTCAACTGATTGTACTTTTTTATCCCAAACTTTACATATGGGATGAAAATACATATGAAAAGGGATACTAAAGAATATTTTGTTTAAAATTGAATTCTTATGACCATAAGTATATAATAGCACAATCATAAAGCTTGTAAGTATTCAGATAGAAAATTAAGGGAATTACAACAGAGTAGACCGCCAGGACTGCATTTTTAAATCTACTACAGCTGAGTCAAGCTGTTCCATGAATACACAGATCACACTCGCCAATGGCAAATGTAATGATTGCTTCTAAAGACAGAAAATGCTGATGTGTGGATGACTAAATGGTCACAATCCAGGAGGCTGTACAGAAGACCCTGCGGCCAGGAGAGGCCTTGTCAATGGACATTTCTCCCCCCTGAGCCCCAGATGGTCACTCTGGGTAGGGGTCTGTACAATGTTCCTATCTGGGAGCCCCACTGACATCCCTCCAGGTACTGTCACAAGGTGTCTTGCACAGTAGCTCTCTCCAGGCCAAATGAAGCCTATACTTTTGCCAGGGTGAAAAAATCCCTCATTCACTTTTGGTTTTATTCCCCTGATATAGTTCCATACAGGCAAAGTAGGGATATTTTCATATCATCCTACTTCTCAGCATTTTATTTTCTAGTATCCTGCATTTCATTTGTGTATCTCCTGAAACAATGAAATGGAAAATATAAGAATTTATAATCTGGAAAAAAAATTCTCTGAGGAATCAATTAAAGCTGGGTTTTCCTACTTGCGCTTTTTTTTTTTTTTTTTTTTTGGGATGCTTTGGGTCTTTGTTGCTGTGCGTGGGCTTTCTCTAGTTGTGGCGAGCGGGCGCTACTCTTCATTGTGGTTCACGGGCTTCTCATTGTGGTGGCTTCTCTTGTTGCGGAGCATGGGCTCTAGGCACGCAGGCTTCAGTAGTTGTGGCACGTGGGCTTGGTAGTTGTGGCTCGCGGGCCCTAGAGTATGCGGGCTTTGGTAGTTGTGGCACACAGGCTTAGTTGCTCTGCGGCATGTGGGATCTTCCCAGACCAGGGATCGAATCCGTGTCCCCTGCATTGGCAGGCGGATTCTTAACCACTGAGCCACTAGGGAAGTCCCCCTACTTACTTTTTGATTGCCTGAAATGTTTCTGCTATTCAGTCTAGAGAACAATTAACTCATGAAAGTGTTCCATTTGCCTCATCATAAACTTTAGACTTTTTGTGTATAGAGCAGAAGAAAGGGTTTAGATTTACAATTTCTTCACATCAGATGTTTTAGCATCAGACGGATTTATAGACGTTAACTGGAAATGTAAAAGAAACCAATAGTTTCAAAGGGGCTAGATTCCCAAAATTAGACTTTAAGCCTAACTGCACCCATTTAGTGCATAGCAAAATTTTTAATCATAAAATGAAACAGAAATCTGCGAAAGAACAAGAGAGAGAGTTATTCGTTTAAAAGTGGTTGACATTATTTACATTGCATTTATATATCTTTTAATGATAGAATGTCGAGGGTTGCCAAATGGAAACGTAGGCCGAGAGATGATTCCTGGGACCTAGCTCCATGGTCTGTGAATAACATTATTTAAGAGAGAATCATCACTTAAAATATATCCACTCTCCAGGATTGCTCTCTTTCAGTACTGTTTTTCACCATCACTTTTATTTTTTTTTATTTTTATGTTTTTTAATTTTTGGCTGCATTGGGTCTTCGTTTCTGTGCGCAGGCTTTCTCTGGTTGCGGTGAGCAGGGGCCACTCTTTGTTGCGGTGCGTGGGCTTCTCATGGCAATGGCCTCTTTTGCTGTGGAGCATGGGCTCCAGGCACGTGGGCTTCAGTAGTTGTGGCACATGGGCTCAGCAGCTGTGGCCCATGAGCTCTAGAGCACAGGCTCAGTAGTTGTGGTGCACGGGCCTAGCTTCTCCGTGGCATGTGGGATCCTCCTGGGCCAGGGCTCGAACCCGTGTCCCCTGCATTGGCAGGCGGAGTCTTAACCACTGTGCCACCAGGGAAGCCCCCACCATCACTTTTAAATAACTGCTTCTTTGCTTTGCTTTAAAAGCTAGCAAAGCACAGAATCCAGATCTGGGCACATGTCAATCCGTTACTGAATGAATGATTTAGCAGGCTTACTCTGGAAGTTTTGTATTCCTTCAATAATCCTTTACATAAATTGGGTTCATTTTACTCTCTGCAATTACCCTGAACATGCATGCCAGTTTTTTATTTTTTCCTTACATCAGGTGCAAAAGATGTTCTAGTCTAAATAATGAATGCAGTCCTGTGCCTGTGCCTTATTAAGTTAAAAGCATCAAAAGCATATTTCAAATTCAAAGCAAAATGCATCCAAGAAAAATTGCTTTGGGGTATTGATACATACAGCTCTGAAGGGCAAAATCCCAAATCTTAAAGCAAAGGCCTAAGCTTAAATATTCTATCCCACCGAGGACAGAAGCCTGTCTTTCCTCTGGGTCTCACACTGGGCTGTACATCAAGCCCATGGTTAAATGAACAGTGTGGCTCACTGGGGCAGTGCCAGGAATGAGCTGCTTCAGCTGCACCCACAAAGGAACCAGGGACCTCAGCTGCAGAACTCAAAGGCAAAGAAGCACCAGCCTTGGGAAGGCAAAGGAAAGTGCGAATTACATGGTAGAAGTCCCAACCGAGAGATGAGAGTGTCCCCAGTGCTTTGTAGAAGTCAGCTGCCCCGAGGTGCTTGCATGTCTGGGAAATTACCTTCTGCACAGGCCAGCCAGGCTGCACTTAAGCTAGAAACAAAAGCAGGCAGATTCCAGTCACAGCCATCTCAGAGGTCCAGGATATAACAGCTTATGAAGTAATTCAGCAAAAATGTGAAATAAGCATATTTCTCTTTTTTCCTAAAGAAAAAAAAATGTATGTATGTATGTATGCTGAACAGATGGGGTGGATCATAACACATGACTTCAATCCATATTTAATTTTATAAAAGCAGTTATTCTTCAAGGTCAAGGTAAATTTTGTAATGTAAAAATTACCCTTTGGTCTTCCTCTTAAGCGTGCCCTACATTCTGATATTCAGATCCAGGCTTCAACTTGGTTTCTTAAATTATTGTGTTTGTAAAGGCACATCCGAAGAGATCATAATGAAAATTCAGTTCAGAACTGCAATTCTGCCTTGATTTTGTAGTTGATTAGAATTCAAAAATCTAATCTAGGAGTGGATTCAGACCAGCCATTCTTCACATTAAAGAAAAAAATCATGGGTTATAACCATTTGGTGTATTTTTCTAGGTAGCTCATAACTTATTCAGGTTTGTGTTCATTTTCTGTATATTTACCTATAAATAGATGCTCCACTACAATATCTGCTATTAAACAAATCTAAATTCTTTGTGTGTGTGTGCACGCTTAGATCCTGAAAATAATCTGAGTTATTCTATCGTTTGGGCATTTTACCTTTAGCAATGATTAACTTATTACAACCCAACAGTAAGAAATCAATGGTGTTTCTGATATTTCTAGTGTCTCCTGTCATCATAGACTGGGAATAGAAGCTGATTATGGAGGGTAAGAATTCTGTGTCGGGGGCTTCCCTGGTGGCGCAGTGGTTGAGAGTCCGCCTGCTGATGCAGGGGACACGGGTTCGTGCCCCGGTCCGGGAAGATCCCACACGCCGCGGAGCGGCTGAGCCCGTGAGCCATGGCCGCTGAGCCTGCGCGTCCGGAGCCTGTGCTCTGCAACAGGAGAGACCACGGCAGTGAGAGGCCCGCGTACAGCGAAAAAAAAAAAAAAAAAAAAATTTTGTGTTGGAATTGAAGCTACATTTACCTTTGTCTGAACCAGAGAATATTTTTCTCTGCATGAGCTGTCAGCCAAAAAGCAAAAGGATTATGTCTGCCTTTGGTCACTGCTGACTCACTTGACAGGCCTGTCTCTTCTATTAGTCTCAAAGAAATTACGTACTGCAAAAGACTAATATGTACATTTCATATATGCCTTCCCTGAGAACAGAAGTTTAGGGTAATTCAGAAATGGCCTGTCTCCTTGCCCTGGGTTTCACCACTAGGTTTCTAGAGCTGCATTTGGAGGAAAAAGCAAGCATAGAAGCCAAGATCAGATGGATGAAACCTTGGCAAAAAAAGCAAAGCTAATTCTCTGCCTCGAGTCCCTGCCATCTTTATCCTTTTTCTCTCTCAGGACTTTTTTGACAGTCATTAAGTGCCTCTCTTCCAGGATCAGCTTTTCACATCCTGCCTCTCTTTTTCATGTCTCCTCTTCTGTCCTTTCTCTTTCTCTACATTTATACTCTCCTTTCCCCATTTACCTCACCAGAAAACAAT